CCCCTTTTGTGACACTTTTATGTGGTGGGGGGGGGGGGGGGGGGGGGGGAAGGAAGGTTGTATGATGCCACTAATACATTGTAAATCATAATCCTAGAGGCATTGGTTAGTGCAACTATCATTTTGCCCTTCTTCCAAGATATAACTGTGGACATGAAAAATATATACGGGTAAATTCTACCAGAAGTCACGGCCATTCATCGTCTCTAAATCAAATGGTAAATGGTGCTGTTGGGAGGAGATCACACAAGTTAACTCATAAATCAACAAATATATATATATATATATGTGTGTGTGTGTGTGTGTGTGCGCGCGCGCGCGCGCGCGAAAATCAAAAAACAAAGAGCTGAAAGTATAACTCAAGAATCCGAAACATAAAGAATATAGGAAACTGAACTAAAACCCAAAAGTAAATTATAAAATGAAAGAGGAAACGTATCTTTTATTTTCAACAACCCACGGGTCATAGTTCATACAACCAGTGCCTCAATCTTGAATAATAACCACAGCTATAATTCGAATCAAACCCCAAGGTAAGGATTACAAAAGGAAAGCACTCAGACCAAACCGATTATTACACAAAATAAGATATTTCTCTTCGCAACACACGGTTCATACAAGAACCAACCCTGAAACAATGAATTCACACAAGATTTACAGGCTATTAAGAGAAAATCAGAAATCAAATGAGAATATTTGATTTCAGCAGAGAAAAAGAGAACAAAGAAGCAAACGGCGCAGCTACAGAGAGAATAGAAAGTCTCAAAGCCAATGTGTTGCACAAACCCTAGACGCCTCCTTTATATGAGTCACTTAACAGTCACCAATCCAACGACGTTGGAGGCGACATGTGGTGACATCATAGGCATCCAAAAAATAGGTAAGTAAAAACACAACTTTAAGCCAACCAACAAACACGTTTTAAATCAATAGAGAAAAATGAGTTGGGCTTTCAATTCCAGCTGGGCCATCATTTTCAGCCCAATGGTCTTTTAGCATCATTGTGCCACAATTTCCTTTCATACTCCACCTTAGTACAATGATTCACATTTATCAGTGGTTATTCAAAACATCACAGATATCATAAGCACAGTAGCTGCATCCACAGATTCAGCAACGAACCACATTCAATAAGGCCAAGCAATCCAGAAATTTGTTCAAAGGCAGTACCTTAGTCCCTACATCAGCAGGATTATAATTAGAAGATATCTTTTCAAGTTTCACAACACCTTGTGAAATAACATCTCTAATAAAATGAAATCTAACATCAACATGTTTAGATCTATTGTGTAAAACAGGATTTCTACTTAAATGAATTGCAGATTGGCTATCAGAATAAAGAACCACTTCTTTAACAAAACCAAATTCATTAAATAACCCT